ATTATATGTAATCAATATCCTTACCTCAATTTCATTTTCTTTATTTTTTGGTTATTCAAAGTATAAAATCAGTTATCATTATTTAATCTTTTGTTACACTCAATACATACAATACTGTCAACGATCTCCACGATGACAGCTGTTCACGAAATTAGCGCAGCGAGAGATCAATCGGCAATGCTGAAAAGAGACAATATGAACTTTGAGAGATGCTGGTAATCGATTTTACATGTTTTTTTTTTAAAAGTGGAATTATATATTAATATTAAAAGCACTTACATTGTGTATAAAACTCTCTAAAAATGCTAATTAAATCTTTAAGAAATGCTAAATGCCAAATGTGCTTACAAAATTTAATTAAAATTTTTAATTTAATTAAAAATTGCCTTGTGTATGTATATAATTCGCTAAAAGTTACAATATTTAATTAGAATTTATATGTATGCGACACGACTGATATTACAAATAATCATATGCATGGAAGACTGGCGAAGCTAGCTTCTGCCACTCCTGCTTTGCTGCTACAAAAATATCCTCTATGTCGACTTTACCAGCTTCCTATCTTTTACTAACTATGGTTTATCTGCACTCGATGTGTATGCAACGTGCATTCGACCGATCATTACCAGCAGAATGATAATACAGTCGGCGTAAGACATCCTTCATTATCACTATTAAACAATAACAAAGTTATCAAATTAAATACCACCAAGTACCGATATTGGATATTCGAAATACTTTTACGTGTGCGTGGCATGATAAAATTTGATATATATTAAAAATGGAAAAATGGTAGTTTCATATTTTAAGAAATCCAAGAATTGAAAATTATTGAAATTCCAATATCAATTATATTAAACATCTGTTATGTCATATGGCGCATTTATTATATTACAGATTGATTAGAAACACTCGATTGATTTAGAAACGATCGATTATTCGAGAAAAAAAAATCCTAAAATAATTTCGAGTCTCTCTCTCTCTCGAGGCTAATCTTCGTGCAGAGTGATATCGGCAGTTATTAATTATCATTCATGCCAGAAATGCAGAATAATCGAAGTGGAAAAAGAAGTTTTCCCCGTGATAAGCCTACCGAGTGTTCCCCCCTCCCCCCCCCCCGTTATATCGTCAGGTGCGTCGGCGCGAATGATACGCGTGGCGTATCGACAATTACGTATCTCTCGTCAGCTCTGACGTATCGCTGCGCCGCGTTGGTGACGACAGAGATGACGTTACCGATGCAACTAACCTACCGTAATCGAAAACATAATGGTGCATCAAACATAACCGGAGACTGGTAAATCTTTGGAACGGGGGAGCACGACGGGCGAGTTGGTCGAGCCGTCCGTGCGAGCGCGACTCCCGAGGTCGTCGCACGTCTGAGATTTTACCGCGCCGTCATCTTACTCGCTCGTATAGTCGCCTGTTACCCGCGAACCTTATCAGCCGGCCGTTTGCGACACATTCGGTCCCGGCAAGCTCACTATGGATTGGCAGTTGGTCGTTTATGGTAAATAGGCTGAACCGAACGGACACTGAGGGAGATCGCCCGTTTAATATCGCACCATGGATGGAAAACAAACACTTGATCAAAAAGAAAAAAAAGAAAGGAAAGAGATTCTTTTATTAATAATGATTATCATTTAACGATATAATAAACGCAAATGTATTGTTGTTACGGACTTGCATTGTGATGATGAAACACGATGCTCGTTATGTTAATAAAGATGCTCTTGTAATTTAATGTGTTTCTAGTTGTACCAGTTGGCGTTAATGTTAACGAGAGTTTTATATAAAATAATGATGTATAAAATTGAAATATTGTATGCGGCTAATGGAATATTACTTTGATTATGATAAATAAGTTAATTACTTTATATAATATTTATTTCTCGTTTTATCATCTTGCTATTTATCAGTTCCAATCGCATTTATGATGTATCTATTACTACATATAATAAAGACTACGAAATAGCGACTGTGCATATGCGCAAAGTTAGAAATCAATGCCGCTGTTTATTTTGCAACGAAAACATATTACTTTATCATTGCAATAATCTTATAAATTTATGTCAAAATTATGATTTATCCGATTCCGCCGATGGCACAATCGCGTCTGGTCGAAGATCAGGATTGTTTCAAATGCAATTGTCAGACAATGCGCATTATCGTTGATATCCTTGTATGAACAATGGACCAAATGTTAATTGTTGTTAATAAAGAGTCATGTATGTTGCTGTTGCAACGGCGAGCAGAGCCGCGGAAGAGGCTGCACCTGTACCAGTCGTGCGCGAAGCGCAAACACACCTGAAACCTTTGACCTTTTCATCGACGCTCGACTCTCCTGCCGGCGACCATCGATCTTCCCCTCGTCCATCCCTTCGAGCCCTTCGTCAAACTGCAATCCTATCACTGCAATCCGTCTAGCACAATCATTGTGCTACACTGAATACGACACGACGAAACTGTTTCTGAAAGCGAGGTCGCGGTCGATGCACTTGATTTTGATTACACGAGGATGAATATACGCCGATCGTGTTTTGCAACTTGCAGCTTTCAAGCTGCTCGTCCGAATACCATACGCCACGATACGGAAAAGAGAAACTCAAATCCCATTAGAGTAGCTGACGCGATGTAACCCTAAAAAAAAAAAAAAGTTAAAGAATAATTAGAACCAATTAACCATATAATTATAACACAATTAA